TTTCTCAGGTACATTCAGTATAACCAGTTCAAAATGAATATTATTATTGCTTGAAGTTATCACACTCTGTATACCTGACTTTGTTGTGATGACTGCATGATGACTGCATAAAATTGGACAGTTGGACCAAGTATTCAAGGTGAAAAAGTCAGTAGGGTATTTCCAACGTTTATTAACAGAAACATTAAACAGATAGAGCAGAACAAAAGTGCAGAACTGTGAAGCTGCAGACCTGCATAGACTGCAGGGGCAGGGTGTAACCCATCACTGACTCTGGTTTCACTATTCAGTCCATCCGTCAGCCGATGAGCTGCTAACAAGACTTGGCGTGTGTCGCCCAGAGTGTCCCTGATGCTGCAGCCCCAGAGGACTTGGTCAGGGGGAAACAGAGCAGGCAGGAACAGTTCAGGATTCTAGGAAACCTCTGCTCTATCAGAGGTTCAAACCAGAACAGTGGGATCCAGGCTTCCAGGAATCCTTGGAGCATGAAGGCAGGTTCAGATTCAGACGGGTCCAGAAGCATGCCCAGACGGACACGCACAGATGCAGACAGGCAGAATCCAGTATGAGTCCAAGGATGGTTTAGGCAAACAGATCAGACGGGGACAGACAGGGCCAGTGGGTGACAGGGAATGGAATCATGTGCATTCGCAGAAAAAGATAGCTAACTGGGGGCTAGCAAGTAGGATGGCCTTATGTAAACATATCACCAGAATGATAGACAATTAGTAGGGTTTAGATGATCCACCGGGAATAAAAGATCGTCCTCTATAGTTTTTAGCAAAAAACACTTAACTATTGTGTGTAAAACGACATAGGCCTATTACTTGAGCTTTTTAAGACATTCTTTTAAAAAATGAAAACTTATTTGGTGGATTCTGACCCCCCGTTGTATCGAAGGTCATGGACAGCAGCTATCCCAATAAAAGTTGTGACGCAAAAAAAATCTATCAGTTTATCTAAATAGAGATAAACAATTTTAGGGATTATTACACAAAATAAACTACAGTTATGTTAGTGATGTTATAGAAAAACATAGTAGGCAGGAAAAAATGGATGCCTGCAAGGTTCCGGTGAGTGGACTGTGTTTATCAGTTTGGCCCGATGATTGGGGTTAAATAATGTTCCCCAGATCCAGGTAGAGAGATAGTCTACTAGCTTGTATCAGCGCATTGACCCCCAGTTCAGAGAACTGTTAAATAGAGCTTGTATAAGACCTGTTTCTGGGCTGGGTGAAGCATTACCTGGGCAAGGCATAGCCTTATTTAGCAGTACTGTACATCAGTTAGCAGAGGCTGTGTGAAACTCCCTACAAAAGCTGATTTTAGCTGCACCTACAATCCAAGGTGCCTGTGGCCAAGGATTAGTGCTGCTTTGTGTGGAGGTGTAAAGCACAAAGGTTTCCCTTTGTGTGGCACATTTTATGAGGAGAAACTGCCTGCATATTTTCATTTACCACTAGAATTTATTGTTTTTAAAGCCTTCTGGAATCAATAAATTATGTAAATTGGAGGAATAAACCATTATGAAATCACTTAGGATGAGAGCTTCAAAAGTTGGTGAACTGGAAACTAGACAATAGTTTTTCCAGCCAAGTTTATTATAGGCTATTGGTTTTATTGGGTCAAAATAGAAAAACTGTTCCCAAATTCTGCCCTGTTCTTTTTTATTTTATTTTATTTTTTTAGTTTTTCTCTTTCTTTTGTTTCATTGATGTAACATCTAATATGTATTGTGTTCATTGAAGTAGCATCATTGTGATTTGGAAGCTTTTGTGTTAAACATCCTGAGGCATGGAAATTGTATTTTCTAGCTATGAACTAAGAGAAAATCCTCGGACAAAAATGCCTAAATCTTTTGCACCCTTTAACATTCTTTCCTTCAGGATTTATCTACTGTATGTTTCCACTGGTATATTTTCCCACTTTTTACTATGTTCATTAAATGGCTTGCAAACTGATTTTAACAATTTTGAAAAACTTAAAAAATATATCTCAGAATCATGCTCTTAAAACCATCTAACATTGTCTTTAAAAGAGGTGGTGGCAGATTAATGGTGTGGGTAACGATGGCTTGTAGAAACATCCGTAAGTTATATATAGTCATTTGTGAATAGGGAAATTACAGCAGTACATTAACATATCATCGGGTGCTCTTGGGGGTCTCTTTCTCTTTAAGAGAGTTCTCTTATCTCTGCAATAAGCTCATAATAAGAGGTACTGATTCAAATTAAAATCTCACTCACTCTGATGAATTTGTGTGCTAAAGAGCATTTACTAATTGGGATTTAGCAAATGTTAATTGAAACACAATTTACTGTTTGGAAACTATTAAACGACAGAACAGATATGTAATAGATTCCAAATCTGTCTTTTAGTATAGAGCATGTCCTTAATATTTTGGCACACGGTTAGATGATGTAATGCCCTTACAGTGCTTTCAAAAACAAACCTTTGGAGAACTTTTTACTGTGCCAGAGTTTGGTTTCTGGAGCAGATAATGCCTGTGTGAACAAATCCCTGTCCTAGAAATGTACCAGGGAACCTTACCTTTTTTTTTTTTTTTTTTTACAAGGTTACCTAATTCACATTGTGTGATCAGCCCAGGCTTTCTTCTTTCATCTCCTTTTATATTTCTAGTCCAATCAGCTATCCATCTTTATTTATTAAACCGATGGCTTACAAACCTTACAAAAAATAATGCTTTCTTTGGCATTAACAGAGGATGTAATTTACCAACTGGGAGAAGATTGGGAATGTTGCAGACAAATCTTTGGTTGTAAATACTGTTTTCATATGCATGCATATTAGAAGTAAAGTAAGTTTAAAAGGAACACTGTTAAGACAGTTACAAAATCAGTCAGATTAAGTGATAAGCTGTGAATGTTAGATGAATAATGTAAGATGAACGTCAGCTCTGTCTTTTGTAGTCTGTTAGAGAGAGAACTCAGTAGGAGCAGGGTTTTGGGGACTGTTGGGGGACGGGCTTTAAGACTGCATGATAAATGCCTGATAGTTTGTCTGGAAGGCAAAAAAATGATATTGATTTTTTTTACCTCCACTTCTTATCATCGGCATTTTCATTTTGCTGTCCTTCGCAGAGGGAGCCTCATACCCGGCATTCCAATAACGTTTGATTTCCTAGATTCTATAAGAATGGTGGGGTGTAACTTTTCATCTGTAGTAATGTTCTGAGATAAAGCTTCACTTAAAGTGTTTTTGCTGCTGCGGGTTCCACAACGGATTTGTGCATCACCCCCTGTCAAAATCAGATCAACAGATCACAGAATCCAATGAATTACATATGAAATGCTTTTTATTGTACAGCACAAACATTATTCAGTGCTTTGTCTCTCACTCTGGTGGTGATTAATCGCTGTCACTTCCTCAATTCAGGATGCATTACAGACTTCTCTTGTGACCTTTCTAAGGGAAATGGTCTATAGACGATGCAATACTAAGGTGTCAGAGAGCAATACGTCAGCAACACAGTAACAAACAGAAAGTAATTAGAAAGCACTCAGACGGCGCATAAATCTGCTAAGGCTGTTCAGTTCCTTTGATTTGTTCTGTTAATATTGCAAAAATATTTAGACATTTTGATTTCTATTCAGATTCAAATCAGCCCCTGATTGCAGACATTGAAGAAATTACAGTTAGCGTAATAATTTTTCAAGTATGCAGAGTGATGCAATTAAAAAATAAGATATTTACAGCGATGCTGGTCATTGGCTTTTTCCAAGATATCAAATACTTTTGCACTACTATATGTGCTTACATATAGTAGTGCATACTATATGGGCTTTAATTACTTTTAAAAGACAAAATGTTGAATGTCAGTCCACAAAACAAATGTGGACCTGTTGGGCAAACTCCCAAGCACCCTCAAACACCCTGAAGAAAGTGTAGAGATGATAAAGTGTTCAACAGCCAGCACAAAATGACACTGCTCATCCAGAAGCAGAGTTTCAACAATCAATTGGACTTTCCTCTTCGGCACCCTGGCATTGGCCTCCCTGGTGAGGCTGAGAAGTGTGATCCCCCTATAGTTAGAACACCCCTCCAGTCCCCCTTTTCATGCATGGGAACTACCATCCTGGTCTGCCAGTCCAGGACTATTGTTTCCAAACTCCACAAGTTGTTTTAGAGGCGTGTCAGCCATGACAGTCCGACAATATTCAGAGATCTAAGATATTCAGGGCAGATCTCATCCCCCGCGAAGCCCTCTCACCATGCAGTTTTTGACCATCTTGATCACTTAAGCCTGGGTGATTAACGAATCTGGCCCCAAGCTCCCAATCTCTTTTTCCAAAATGGAAGGTGTGTCAACTGCATTGAGGGATCATCTAAGTGCTCCTTCCACTGTCCAAAGATGTCCCCTCTCAGGGTCAGCAGCGTCCCACTCCCACTGAAAACATTGTTAGCAAAGCACTGCTCCCCCTCCAGAGGATGCAGATGGTTAGCCAGAATAGCTTTGAGGCAAACTGATAGTATTTCTGCATGGCCTCTCCAAACTCCTACTAGGCCTGAGTTTTTGCCACTGCGCCTGCCCAAGCAGCAGCACACTTCCTGATTGTTGCCTCAGGAGTCTCACAAGCCAGTCAGGCTTGATAGGACTCCGTATTTAGCTTGACAACAACCTTTACTGCCAGTGCCCACCACTGAGTTTGGGATTAACACCACGAGCAGATCTTATGGTCACAGCTACATGCAGCTGCATCAACAATGAAGATAGAACATGGTCCTCTCAGACTCCTGTAATCTGGGAGAAACTCTCCCTGAGTGGGAGATTAACAAATTCCTGATCAATGGTTCCACAGAATATTCTCTTCAGACCTGAATGAGTATTGAGGGTCTGCTGAGGCAGTCCACCAATTGCCAGCCGCACTTCTCTCTTCACCCAAGTGTCCAAGACATGCTGCCAACAGTCAGAGATCTCCTCCCTATATAAAGGTGAGGGGACGCCATGATCTAGTCTGGGCGAGTAAACTTCAACACAACATGGCTGAGCTGGAAGAAAGAAGCCTCCCCTCTGACTCTCCCACCCTATCTCAAGGAGCTGGATTCCAAAGCCCAGGCTATGTTTTGAAGTGAGCCTGACTATTTCTAGCCAGTATCACTCTACTTCCTGCACAGCCTCAGGCTCCTTCCCCCCAGTGAGGTAACATCCCAAGTCCCTGGAGCCAATTTAAGTCGTCATAGATTGGATCACCAGGGCATCCGCCTCTGATTGCAACCAAATCAATTTTGCACTTGTTCCTCATGGTTGTTCTTACAGGAGGTGGGCCCACTGTGGGATGACCTCTTATCAGTTCCTTGGGATAGGCTCGGTCAGGTCCCATGAGGAAGAACCAAACCACTGGGTGCTCACCAATGTTCCCAAAACCAGCTCAGCTTTTATGGGCGATGTCACATCCCTTAGGTTATTCTAGTCTTTATATGGGCTTTTTGAACCAATCTTTGTCTGACCTATCACCCAAACCCTGTTTGCCTAAGGAGACCCCACTAGGGTCATTGAAGCCCCCAACAACAGAGTCTATGGGATTATCGGGGTTCTGAAGCCCATTCACTATAAGCTGGGGGTTCAATTTCACATATTTTAGAAAAGCACATTTAAAGGTTTTCCTAATATTTACTCAGTTTTTCTGAATTATAATGACGGGAAACAACATAATTAGCTGTTTTTAATTTCTTTAACAATTTCATTAAAATAATCCAAAGATTTGTTCACATTTGTTCACAACTATTTTCTGTCTCTGTACAGTAAAAGTAAACAATAAGCATGGCTATGGTCACATAATATGTACTATTTAATACAACTTAAACTGTTCTTTTCAATCTCTTTATAGTTTTAGGTGTACATGCTCTCTAATTTTGGAGTTCTGGAAGTCAGTTAGCTTAGATTAGGAGAGGAAATAGTATGACTTGTTACAACCTTTCGATAAAAAAATCATTACTTATGCAAAAGATCTACTTCCAGATTCTTTCCAAAAGAGATTAAAAAAAATAAAAAATAAATTCTTCCAAGTTTGAAAACATTTGGCTTCCCATCCAGGAACCTTTTTTGATTAAATTCAATTGAGTTTATTTATAAAGGTCCAATTCACAACACGTAATCTCAAGGCACTTTACAAATCAACCAGATCATACAGTCAAAATGATTAAAAGTTTTCTATCTAAGGAACCAGTTGAATACATCTACTCATTGACTCGAAGGCAATCGCTCACACAAAGCATGCTTGTAGCGACTGTGGAGAGGAAAAACTCCCTTTTCACAGAAAGAAACCTCTACCAGAACCAGGCTCAGTGTGAGCGGCCATCTGCCGAGGCCGACTGGGGATCAAGGAGACAGAAGCAAACATAGAAAAAGAAGATACAAAAGGCAACTGTAAACCAGCTCCACAGGTGGCCCCCTTCAGAAAACACACAGCTGCAAACCAGCTCACGTGTCAGAGGATGAAGAGAGCATATCCAGGCACTCACAGTCAGAGAAACAGGACTACTCTGAAAAACAGGCCGATCTCGAACATCTATTTTATTAAATCAAAATGTCAGCAAAACATCTTCAAACTTGGAAACAAAATACAGTGGACTGCTTTTTAACTTTTTTGAAATTTCTGTGACCTGGATGACTGAGAATCTTCACTAGCATATCTCCAGATTATTTTAGCGAAGTTATATGTAACATAAATTAAGTCTCTCCCACATAATCTCGGTTAAATAAGGCCTTACGCTGATAATGAATAAACCCCCAATTCAGCAGTTGGCAAATCTTTCCTTAAAGGCAGTCCACTGTGTGAATTCAAAACGTTGGCAAACAGTGAGCCAATGAGATTTTCCCTTCAGGAGTGATTTACTTTATTTGTTCCTTTGCTTACTTTGGTCAAGGTCAATGTGAGCCATCCCGGTGGAACTTCTATGTTCTGTCAGCCTTCAATTTCCCAGTTTTTGTTAAAATATGTTTTCATTAATTTCATTTAGGTCCAGTGACAGTGAAAATTCACAACACATTGACATATCAAATCTAGATGATATGTCGACTGAATCATATAAACGCTAATGTGACAAAGAATACAAATGAGGAAAAAGTTGCTCAGATAATGGTAGGGGATCTGTGACGCTGTCGAAAACATTTCCTCAAAGATTACCATCAAAGCTGAAACAGGTTCTTTCACCAGCATGCAAATCACAAACTGAGCAAAATAAAGAGAGAAATGGTTTGCAAAATCCTCCATTGCATGGCCTCCTCAGCTGCCAGACCTGAATCTTCTGAAACCTTGCTAGGTGAGGTCAAGAGAAGACAACAAATATAGGACCAGTATTTTCTGGAGTACAGGCAGGTTCTAAGCTCTCTTGCTCTCTTAATGTTCAAACTTATGAAAGCGTGTAAAAGAACATGTTGTCCTCTGTTATCTTAAAAGGAGCATAAAAGGCATTATAACAGAAACAGCTATAACAGAAGGGGTGCCATAAATTTCTGGTGACATTCGGTCATTCCGGGGCTTTAATTACTGAAAAAGCAGTGCATTTTGAATGCTCTGAAATTTCTTAGTAGGACTGAAAAAACTAATCAGCTTAATCATGATTAACCGATAATGGAAATAATCTTCAACTAATTTAGTAATTAAGAAACCTTTAACTTGCAAATAAAGACTCTAACACATGCCATTAGCTGAAAGAACAACCCATGCAGGGCAGTAATTATACTCAAATTGTAAAAAAAAAAAAAATATATATATCAACGTTTTTTGATTTAAGATGGAAAAAGCATTTTTTGTCCATAGGAAAGTTCATAGTATTAGCTTCACCTGATTCTGTATAAAATCTTCTTTAAGACATCTTTTCTATCCCAATATTCATCAAAACAATATCAGCCTTCATCATTTAGCAAGATAATCATTAGTTGCAGCCCTATTTCTTAGTATATAATATCATCAAAGATCTTAGGATATCCTTGTGGGATTTAAAGGGTGAACAACATTATCAGATCCAACAAAAGGCAGTTTGCAGCATTTGTTCTGATGACAGTTTCTTTGCATGCTGATATCTATTACCACATTATTCAAAGAATTAGGTGGTCCTACTACCATCTATTGTTCAAGCCCAGACTTATTTGTTTAGCTAATTGCATCTTGGATGAAGTATAACACTAACCATAGCAGATGAGGTGTTAATAATACATATATTTTTATTTATGTATATATGTATTTTACCTTAAGAACAGCTGGAGATTAAAGTTGAATGAACTCAGAATAATTAAATGCAGCATTGTCAACTGTGACATTTTCTTTCACCCAAACTTGGTACAAAGGCTGTTTCCACATCCTTTAAACGTAATTTGAAACCCTGCTCCTATTACGTACCTTTTATCCTCTCAGCATGATGTAGGCAGACCGATCAAATGGATCTCTGATAAACACTGAACATTCATCTCCAGGGGGGGCTCAGCCACTGATTGTGTTTGCGTTTTTTCCAGATGGTCGCTAAACGGAACACTCATTGATCTGGGGAGTGACTACCGGCGTCACATGTCTGGGGGCAGCCTGATCATTAGGAACCTGGACAAGGATCAAGACAGTGGGATGTACCAGTGCATGGCTTTCAACACGTGGGGTTCCATTCTGAGCCGCAGAGCCAGCATCCAGTTTGCATGTAAGTGCTGCTACAAATGTTAACACATTCCTGGCATGTCTCTGACACACCAATGTCAGTTATCTCTTTGTATCTGCTGCATGTCACCCCGATGCATGTAATATGCTTTTGGCCCTAGACTTTTCCCTTTTATTCTGTGCCATTTGCTATTCTGGTTTCTAATTTAGATTTCTTGGGTATATATTTTCACGAGGGGTGATGGTAATTGAGTGAAACGTTAGATACAACAAACACGGGTAGTCTCTGACCACCCCATTGATTCTCATTAGTGGTTCAAACTCTGACAGCCTCCTTGTCTTGTCCGAAGTGACAAATATTTTGCCAAATTATATTCATGCTCCTGTTATCTAGACTTTAAAGCTTTCAGGCAGGAATAATGCGGGAAATGGGTTTGTATTTTTTGACAGTAATCACAACATTTGTTTTTGTTTATCACATGTACGGCTGATTGTGAGCAAGTTACACAGTGACAGAATGAAGGCTGCCCTGGCAGACAGCTGCATAAAAGGAAGAAAAGGAATTCTGGATTGTGACACCATGGAGTGGTGCTCTACCTTCCAGACAAACCCTATAGAAGTGCCGCTCTTTTCTTGATCAAGCCTGCTGACTATTGATCTTGTCCCAAGGATAGGGAGCCTTTCACTTCCTCTCATGAGATGAACTGCCATTATCCCTATAGCTCAGTAATGAATCTCACTTGTGGGGACGGGCTGAGGAACAGAGCTGCTTGACATTTATTGTCTTGCCTAATGCACGGAGAAGGAGGCCTGAAAGATCAGCAGGGCTGATACTCTGTTTTTCCCGTGTAATGAGGCAACTGCCCTGAGATTGAAATGTCATTCCTCCTGTGCCGCTTTGCCTTCCACTCAAAATCCAGCTGTAGTCAAAACAGGTGAACTATCTCCAGATTATGTGTGTATCGTATCAAGCATAACAAAATAAATCATCATCTAAGGAAATAAAGAAAGGAGATAAGAATATCTACTTTTTTACTACTACAACCACCAGACTGATAATGTTTGAAAACGTAAATGTAGAAACATGATCAGTCTTTTGCTCTTTCAGATTGGACTATATACAAATTTAAATGTAATTTAAATGTAATGTAATTTATAAAAACATTTTATTATTTTCTAATTCAATGCCAGTTATTTTGCAGAGAGTTTAATACACCAGACACAGTTATTTCTTTTTTGCCTAGGCTACTACTAAAGTGTACAAGACAAGTCATAGAAATGTATGTTTTAAAATCATAAAGAAATACTATGTTTTAAAGGAATAAAGGGTCTTTAACAACTTTTAGGTCAAAACAAGCTTTTCTATATTTGTTTTGTTTTTGAAAATGTGGCTGTCTGTCTAGGGCAAATTCACAATTATTGGATATTTCCCCTGTGTCAAGGTCAATGTAAGGTTTGGAAATAGGGTGATACAAACCATTATAATTTATGATATTGTATTTTGGTGATAAACTAAAGGACTAATACACATTTTCAGTCTTAAAGGCACAAAATTTCTAAAACTGGCAGGACAACTGCCTTCCAGAAATGACTTTGGACACACTTGATCTACAGTTTGATCATCTCTAGTTTAACTGTTGTTGAACTTCATTATTGTAAAAAACTTTAAGATAATTTAGGATATGGCTTAATTTACAGATACAATGTGTAAGAATATACAGGGATTTGCTGAAATAAATGTAATATTTTATCTATATGTACTTAATTTATAATTGCCTTATCACCTTTATGTTTGGCTTGCCTTAGGATTTTCTCTTTAAAATTACATAGGAGTGGGTTCCCATTTGTGGAGGCAGACTTCTTTTGAGATACAGCAGCACAGAGCTAGGGATGAGTGATTTTGGAAAACAATCTAAAAGTGTTTCTTTTTTATCTTAATATTGCGTTTTAATGAGGTGATTTTTTTTTCAGTTTAAAGGAAAACTCCAGTCAGCTAGGAATAATCAATGCATCATTATCTATACCTAAAATAAATATTTTAGCAATGATTTAATGAATTTAGCGTTAATCAATGAAATAAAAAAACCTACAGATCCTTGAGTGTGTCATTTTTGCCGAAAGTTATTAACACCTCACTCATGACATCTTCCTGCAGTGACGTCATGGGTTGCTAAGCCAAGGGCCATTCTCTCCACTTTAGAAGCAAAATCAATGAGAACTATTATACACACCTTTCATCAACAACAATTTTTTAGATTTCGAGAGGACTTCGCCATTGAAATTCGCGAGAGCTATAGTTAGAGTTACAATGCCCACGTTAATGGCAGCTGGATGTTGCAACAAATCAGGTAAAATTGAAAAAAAATTATTTTACCTTTCCGATTCATGATCCACCACAAATGTGTTGTTGGACTGCAAACTTGAAGATGGAGGATTTGCCATCAAACTTCTGGCCAGAGAAAAAACACTTAAATGTAGCTAAATTTCGAAGAAGAATGTTCTCAACTTCATTGACTTCATCCATATCTTTTAATGTTTCATGAAGCATGATATATGAATATATGGACGGCACTCCTTAAAAACTGCTAGATAAGGTACAAAAATAACATTGACTGAATTGCAGTCACACAAACTAAAGTGCTGGAAAAGTATAGAGAGCAAATATCTTCTTTCAACCAGTTGGAATTTTTATGGGTAAATCAAACTCTCAAATGAACACAAAATAAGCGAGTATATTAACTTTTTAAATCCAATGAAGAAAAACTTTTTGAAGAATTACAAAAATTATATAAAATATATATCACATGTCGTTTAAATTGTCTTCATGAACATGTGGGGAAAATGGAAATGACAGAATACACTTTCTCAACACATAGACATCGAAACAAAAAGGAAGTGCTTCAAGCTCATTAAAATAAAATTTACAAAAAATCATCAATAATAGCCAGACATATCAGTATAAACTGTCATATAATGCAACTTACTCTGATAATTCAGAATGGATGGCATCTGATAACATTTCCATGCCGCTTCTTGCATGTGACTCTTTTTTTTCGTAGCAAAATGGCAAACCAGAAGTGCACAACCGCCAAACCTGAATTAGAATTTACAGACAATCTTTTTTAATATAAACTTATACAAACCATGAACTGAATGTCTAAACAACATGCAATCCTTTTTAATACCATAGAAATGTTTTTAGAGTTTTTTTTATTTAACATAAACATACTTATTAATAGAAATGCTTTAAGGGCTACACAAACACTTTAGACCTGGTTCACTCTAACATCAAAGATGATTTCAGAGCAGCTCTCCGCCCCCTCCTCGGGTCAGCATATCACCTCTCTGTCATGCTAATTCCTGCATACAAGCCCCAGCTAATCAGGGCTAATCCGACAGACAAAGTAATCAGAGTATGGTGTGAAGGGGCCGTGGAGAAACTCCAAGACTGTTTTGAATACTCTAAATGGAATATGTTCAAAGCTGCAGCAACCTACTGTATGACAACAAAATAAATATAGACGAGTATGCCATGACTGTGTCAGCCTACATCAATAAATGCATTGAGGACGTCAGCATCACAAAGAACATCACCATCCGAGCAAACCAATGACCCTGGATAAATGGGGAGGTTCTGAAATCGCTAAAAGCACAGAACTCAGCTTTTAAGTCTGGTGATAAAGAGGCACTGAAGACAGCATGTGCCAACTTGAACCGTGCCATCAGAGCAGTGAAGCTGGACCACAGCCAGAAAATCCATGATCTTTTCATGGTATCGTGCCCTATTTGTCGGTACTCGCTGATACAGATACCACCATTCTTGTGCAGTATCGGAGCCCTGCCTGATACTGATATTGGTATCGGTGAAACACTAATTATAGTCTTAGTTAAGTATGCAACTGTAGACTCCTTGAAGCTTGATTGAATCTAGGTTTAATTTCTTGAATGGCAATTATGGGAGAGCTCTGACAATGTTAAGTCAATTCAATGTTAAGTAAAGTCAATTTATATCTAATAAATGCCATATGACAATCATAGTTTTTCACTTTGTAGTGTTTTTCCTACACCAAATGGTGTAGGGAAAACATAGTAGGTATAGCTTACTACACAATATTTTGACTTGTACCCAAAACCCAGTTAAATGCTGGTTTAGTTGGAGAGCACATTTTATATCATCAGATGCTTATTAAAAGGCAAGACATACTAAACAGTATATGTAGAAAGGCTAGAGCTGTGGCAATGGGTACAATTTAATTTCTTCTTGAATAGAAATAAGTTACAGAAACAGAATCTGGGGGACACTTTCACAGGCATGTGTAAGGCTGTCATTCCAAGAGCTCATAGTTAAAAGTTGTAGCGTTAATGTTAGGTACTTAAGACATTGGTTGGTTTCCATCCATCTTTTTCTCTTTGTGTCAAATTGCTTTTTAGATATCAAAAATACTGTGGTGGATGTATTCAGTATTTGCTAATATCCTTCACTTTCCATGAATACATCTTTCTTTAAATAGAAAAAAATACATCAGAGAGAATGTGGATTTACTGCGATATTTTAATATAATATTCACCAATGATATATTTATAACTCTTCACTAATGATATATTGATTTCCTATAATCAGCAACATGTTTCAGATACATCTACGGTGAGGAGTTGAGTTGGGCTATGCTGTGGTGTGTCTGAAACATTTTTGATTAAAGATTCTAGCAGACACAGAATATTATGACAGCAAATGTCTGTGCACTGGCACCCTTGCCCAGACCAATCATCCTGGCATTGTGATTGCCCCCCTCTGTAAACTCTAGGCCAGCCATTCTTATATGACAGAGATTTATCCTACTTACAAAGGAATCACTGCAGCTATAGTGAGTTTGTGATCTAGATTTCAAGAGTTACAGTATGTGGTCAGCTGACTCCCATGAAGCCCATTATTCTTCTTTCAGAGGCTAAAAGAAAGAGGTGTATCCCCCTCCAGCACTGAGCCTGGCAACCCTTCCTTTCTCAAATGTGCACAATCTGGGCAAACATGTTGTCCTTTTAATATCGGCTAAGCAATAATAAAATGTATTTACCTTCCATTGTGTAGGTCCTGCTGTTATGATTACAAGCCATTAAACGATCAGCTACTGTATATGTAATTCCTTTTTGGGCATAGATTCGCAGAATCTGAATCATCTGTAGGAGACATAATCGGTATTTATGAAGGCAGCCTGGGGAGATCAGAGGGATGTTACCTCTGTCTGTGTTTTAAGCTTGCCACCTCCTCCTGTGGCCTCTCACAGTCCTGCCGTGACTTGGCTCAGTTTGATTCCACCACGGTCATCGGAGAGCGGCTCATTAATCTTAGCAGCACTCTGTCCCACTTCTCTCCATAATCTTCCTTCTCCTAATTTCCCTTATCGGTCACACTGACTTTCTTTTGTTTGTGTTTGGAAGGCTTACTCCAGGCTGTTAGCCAGAGGCTGCAGACAGGGAGCAGAGCAAACTGCGGCAGCTTCCCTCCATCCGTCATGAAGCCAGGGGGGGGGTTATCATGGCAGGTTTTTGGCTTTTTTTCCCTCCACCTGCCAGCAAATGCTCATTTATTTGCAGGCAATAGATTGTGCTGCGATTATTGATGGGGGAGCTAATGCTTTTAAGTGCAAGATTACACCACATTTAATAATGATGTTACTTATTGCTGCTGGCTCTGCAAAATGTCATTTGTCATGCATTCTCTCTTGTTATCTCCTAGTCCTTGCGCTGCATTTCCTTCCTCCTGCTCTAATTTCATCCTATTTCAGTCTATCTCTTCATTGCAACCTAAATTGTTGTATTGCTTGAGTAAACATCAACAAGGCAAGTCCATCCATTTCATCAACACTCCGACATTTGAAACTATTAGCTGCCGTCAGGAGGTGCCTGCAGGGCGATCAATGATGGCCTGTTAAAGACTCAATCTTCCACTCAGGGAGGGCAGAATTCGTAAAACCTGTTTTCCCCATTTTTAAACGAAGAACCCCAGATGGATATACTTTACAAACACATAAGGAAAAGAATACAGTGCTGTTCTGCTGAGGATTATGCTTGGTGAAGCTGCTGACAGATTAAATTCAATCTTTCTGACTCATCAGATCTTGACAACTTCAAAACCCAGTCGGTGAGGAGTGCAGTCAACGTCCGTGAGGGCCAAGGAGTGGTTCTTTTATGTGGAGCCCCCCCACATTCAGGAGGTAAGAGCTGCCATATCAAACAGTTTAATTATTCTTGTGGTTTTTTTGTTTTAGAAATACTGGCAGGACTTACTTCTTGTTGCTTCCCAGAACTTGATAAAGATATATATATATATATATATATATATATATATATATATATATATATATATATATATATATATATATATATATATATA